GCTGATTTCTCGAATCTATGGGGCTGTTTTGGGGCTGTTATGATGCTATGCCAGCGTGATGGCAACAATTCAATTTACCCTTGCAGATCCCTCAATCATTTAGCGCGAATTATGCGATTACTTGGGAACGGATTACTGCGCTGATACATCAAGGTGCTACCTCCGTCCCGCTTATCTCCTCCTCAGATCGCTTGATCGGCGTTTTTCCAATGATTGCCGAGCACCCGACCGATCATAGCACCTCCCTGTGATGGGCGATTATCGCATCACCACGGTCAAATACCCTCCCCCTTTGGTTGCGTTGGTCGATTTAGTCGACGGAGGCGGGCATTTTTCATTGCTGTTGCACGAGTCTTCATCTAATCATGTTATCGACTCACCCTCCCAAAGCCTCGTCCTCTTCTCTTCTCATCCGTTGTTCTACGCCAATTTGAAATTATTTGTATTTTATAGACATGGAAAAGGAACTAGCAGCTCGTTGGAGGGATTTGACCAGTTTCCTGTGTGAACCGACCAGGGAAAAATGGTGGAAAACCATCATTGAGGCCTATAGACCACGGCCATTCCGGTTTGTTACTCGTCGCCCTTGAACGGACGAATCTCCGATTTTGAACCATTTTTTTCAGTGGTATTCCCCATCTTTGCGCTATGTTCACGCTTTTTGACAAATACAAAGACCACTTGAAAGATCGATATGCGACCGCTTTTGCGATATTTTTCAAGAGGTACTTTTATTGTTATTTTTTCATGCATTTTCCCTTCTATAAAATTTTTTTGCAGTGCTATTTATGACCCGATCGCTTCGGACAATGCCGAGAAGAGTGCTCAGCTGCTACACCAGTTTGCACAAGATACCACACTCGATTCAGTACGTTTCTACCTCTATAAGGGCACGTCCTTTCATTGGGGAGATTTTTTTATGCAAAATACGACCCTCCTCTATTACACCCCTCCCCCCTAAAATTTCCTTAAAATCCACCATTTCCTGGGGTTATTTCCGGGAATCCCTCCACTTTTTGTCCAAAGAGGGGAGCTCCGACCAGGGTGCGTCTGTTGGGAATTTTTTTTTGAAAATAACGATCC